CGCTTTTTACTTTTTAGTGACTATAAAAGTCGGTACCCCTTCTGTACCTATATTGCATATGGCACATTTTTTTGGCATGATGACTAAGAGTCGGACTGATTAATAATATAAAAAAAATCCAAAAGTTATAATCTACGAAAACACTCATTACTTAAGTTAAATTACTTAACAATTATTATATATTATATTACTTAACATTATTATTTCGGAGTATATTTCTCGAAAAAAAATGAAAGTATTCAGACAATACAAAAACACACAACTTCAAATCAATACACTCTTTTCTCCGCTTGAAATCTAAATTTATCATCTTCTGTTCAATGTATACTATAATAAAATAGTGTAGTCACAGAATAGATTAAATCTATTTTCTAGATTTTTCTAGATGTAATCTATTCTGTGGTGTAGTTTCCAAATATTGTTTCATATTGCATATGAAAGCTTTTAGAAAACGTGTGCAGCGTACAGCATAGAAGTTTAATGCGTGTTATGACCGATAGATGGCGCGTATAAACCTATCAGTATCATACGTACGATTACTGATTTCCACCCACGAAATGCAAGCGAAATTACGTCGTTTTTTTGTATTAAAATCAATTATTACCGAYAAAACTTTAACAGTGTTGTACTGAACGATGTTATTTGTGCCCAAAGAAACAATAAAATCGAGTGAACGAGCCTTCGGTTAGTATGCGCCTCCAGACGTCACACTACTAAGGATTTCTTTATAGTATTGTGTTTGGGCGCTTAACGGCATCGCTTCTCGGCCTTATGGCTAAGATCAAAAGTGTAGTATCTGTTCTTATCAGCTTAACATCTGATATATCACCTATGTAGTGATTCATATGTTAAACTATTATTTGGAAAATTGGTGGAGAATGGGGGCTTGCTCCCGCTCCACCGCGGGTTGGCCCGGAGTTGCACTTCCTCCGGGATTGACCCACATATAATTTTGATTTATCTTAACATTTCTACTTGTATGTAAGTGATTCTTAAGAGGACGCCACACCCGCATGTGTTGTCATCGTCGTACAAGTGCGTAGCATAGCAAATTTTACGCTCATCAGATCACGTTTATCTCCGTTATTTTAAAATTTAGAGTGAATTGACCTATTATAAAAATTAAAGGCAAGATTATTACCGAGTGCATCTCATAGGCTTTTTATTATATTTTAATTTTAAGCCGAGTTATGAGTATTTTTAGATATCAAAAAATTATTTACAATTTTAAAATACTCATTACTCGCTTTAAAATTAAAATATNCAATAAAATCGAGTGAACGAGCCTTCGGTTAGTATGCGCCTCCAGACGTCACACTACTAAGGATTTCTTTATAGTATTGTGTTTGGGCGCTTAACTGCATCGCTTCTCGGCCTAATGGCTAAGATCAAAAGTGTAGTATCTGTTCTTATCAGCTTAACATCTGATATATCACTTATGTAGTGATTCATATGTTAAACTAATATTTGGAAAATTGGTGGAGAATGGGGGCTTGCTCCCGCTCCACCGCGGGTTGGCCCGGAGTTGCACTACCTCCGGGATTGACCCACATATAATTTTGATTTATCTTAATAACTCTACTTGTATGTAAGTGATTCTAATAAAAAAATTCACTCGTCGTACAAGTGCGTAGCATAGCAAATTTTACGCTCAGCAGATCACGTTTATCTCCGTTATTTTAAAATTTAGAGAGAATTGACCAATTATAAAAATTAAAGGCAATATTATTACCGAGTGCATCTCATAGGCTTTTTATTATATTTTAATTTTAAGCCGAGTTATGAGTATTTTTAGATATCAAAAAATTATTTACAATTTTAAAATACTCATTACTCGCTTTAAAATTAAAATATAATAAAAAGCCTATGAGATGCACTCGGTAATAATCTTGCCTTTAATTTTTATAATTGGTCAATTCTCTCTAAATTTTAAAATAACGGAGATAAACGTGATCTGCTGAGCGTAAAATTTGCTATGCTACGCACTTGTACGACGAAGACAACACATGCGGGTGTGGCGTCCTCTTAAAATGAATGGTAATTGAAGAAGAAACAAATTTATCCCACTAAAGCTATGTGTTTATCTCATTAATTACTTATATTAATAAAATGTACGATTCGGGTGTCGGTGTCGTTTTACGTACTTCATGTACATTAATTTGAAATTATCGTATTTATTTAATAAACGGACGTAAATCCTATTACAATTTTAAACATGAGTACAGTAAAATTAAGGATAGTATACAAGAAAAGAACAGAACAAATGCATTTATAGGCTTATAGGTAGTCATTTAACATTTTGCCGCAGCTAGTAATTATTACTGTGCACTATAAAATATATTTTCTATAGCAGTTGCCCTTCTATTTAATCTCTTTTTATGGCCGTAGCGAGAGAAGAAAGATTTTCAAGAAGAAGAATTCGATATGTAACGAAGTCGAAGCCCGATACAAGTCGGAACGTATCGTTTGAATATTGAACGTGTAACTTCTGAATACTCAAAATCAGATCGATACCTATCGATACACTCTAATTTCTTCGTTGGAAATCTAGATTATCTATCTCAGACCTCGGTTGGTTAGGGGYGTTAGGGCACAGAATAGATTGAATTTAAATTTAATCTATTCYGTGGTTAGGGCTTCAGTTGTTATCAGTTTTCAATCTTATCATACATTCGTTTCCTATAATATTATCACAGGCTAGTCAGTGTTATTATCTAATATCTTAATTCGTAATTTTACAATTTTTAATTTTATACTAATTTTCTATTGTCATCCAATTTTAATGGTCGTTAATTTGGGTGATTGGATCTTTTATTCCAATAATATTGTATTGTTTTAATTATAATATGATATATTGATATCAAATATTATCATTTTAAAATGTAGTTACGTGTTATTTGTTAGTCGTTTAAATCATCTTAAATACATCCTTTTTAATAATATTTACATTAATTATAAAAAACAAAACCTTGAGTATCATTCAATTTTGAAATGGATAACGACATAACATTTCCAATGTTTGATATGCAGACATTCTCAAAGGTACATGTACTTATTTTTTTGTAACAAATCTTGTTTAGAAGATACTTTACATATTACTCTACTTTCAAAATATGTGTTTTACTGGGCAAAATACAAAAAATGTGTAAACAAAAGTGCAGAAACTTTAATTATCCAAAAGTTATTGGTGACATTGGCATAGATGTCTATTGATATTAAGACATTGGATTATTGTAGTATCATATTTTTTTAGCGCTATTATACTAATATTTAGTATTTTTTTAAATTCTTTTATGAGTGTTATCTTAATATCCTGTTAGTATAAATTAATTTTTTTAATACTTACTTTGAAAACATAATTCTACATGCTTTCATCAACTTATTTTAGTATAGGTCATAATTCTGGTAATAATCATGTTTTAGTTTTTATAAGGTAGTAGTTATTTTCACCATAAGTAGTTGGCAAGTACAAAATGTACCTAGCCCGTAGTTATTAATTTTTTATCAATGTAAATTACATCTAATTACATATAAATTTTATCATTATGCTTTTGTGATTTTCTTGGATATTAAAAAAAAAATATATATATTTTCTATATTAACTGAATATTCCTCAATTTGAAAACCTTAATCACTCTTTATTATTTTTTCTTGAATTTATTTTTAATATTTTAGTATTAGCTTATTATGACTATAAATATAATAATAATCGTTACGTCATGAAACAATTGAAAAAAGCAGCCTGTGTTGAAACATAATTATTTCTTTGATAATTTATAAATAAATTTAYGCATTTCATAACATCTATTCTAATTAATCTAGACATCTAGTATTTAGTTGATACCAGGTGAAGTGGTAAAAATTCAATAGAAATAATTCACTGTCATCACACTTCTACAGTGGGTACCTTTACACAGATTTGCAGATCAAAAAAACTAAGCAATTGAACATTCATTTTTTCTGAATTCTTTTGCTGCATGTCATAATGCATTAACTTATGTTTTTCATTCAAAATTGACTAACGAGTACTATTTCAAATTTGAGTGTCCCAGTATTTTTATACAGTCAAAATGTTTGACTAATATGCTTATTATTAATAAGTAAAATATTACTACAAAGTAATATATTAATAATTTATTACTTTATTAAAAATAAAATTATAATTTCTTCAATAATATGCAAACTAAGATCAATGAATTTGATTGAATCACTGGGTTTATAACTGAAAGTACATAAATTAATTTTTTAATTCTGTATTTATATCACAAATTAGTATCCACATAAAAATTATTTGAAAAATATTGACCAACAGAAGTATRATAAATAAATAAAGGTTCTGTTTGGAGTTCTTATTAAAAAAAAATTGAGTTGTATTGTGCATGCAAATAATGAATATATTGAAAAAAATGATAGGTAGTTCATATTCTCTTGTTTCATCTTCTACAAAATGAATTATAAGATATGCATAAAATTAAAGTGTTCTTTGTTTCTGTGATCACGTGGTATAGAGTATAGATTTATATTATAATAATAAATTATTTATAACCACATAATATTTTTGTTTTAGGAATCATTTTCTGTCGATGAATTTTTAACAGAAAATCGAAATAAAATGACATTAGAAAACATGCGAGTTGAAATGGGAATTTTTCTCAAAGACTTACGCAATAAAATGATAAATTCACTCAATGATGATTGTGACAAATATTTCCATTTATCTAGGGGATTAATTGGTATTGACCAGCAATTAGCAACTTTAAAACCAGAATTGAGTTTGTTAAGTAACTCTGTTAATGTATGACATTACATACTGTATAGTGTATGAAGTTTTTTTTATGAGTAAAACAATGTTAAAAATTTCATTTAGGAAGCCAAAAACAATTTGGAAAATACATTATGTTATCTGGATAATGAAATACAATTAAATAAAAAACTATGTGAAGATAAACAGGCATTTCACGCTATTGTAAAAGTTCAAAAATCTTTAGACAAATTAGATGAATTATTATCGGATCAAAATGATTGTGATATAGTCATCTTAACTCGAGCTGTGGCTGAATATAATCAGCTTTTGTCAAGTATGAAAAAATGCAGTGATATTTTGAAAACAGTGCATTTGACGGTATATTTATATAATATCTAATATCTTCTTATAAATTTTATTTTATATTTTATCAAGATAGTTACCTAATTTTATGACTCAATTTTAATAAGTTTGTACTTTTTTTTATTTAGAAACAAACAATGCTAAATGGTTTATTAATGAGTAAATTGAATGAAGCTTTTGTGTCTTCAGTGWCAACAAATGCAAATACAGTAAAATGTTTTCTTGAACTTTATTTATCTTTGGGTAAAATAACATATGCTGAAGATGTGTGTAGGACTGAAGTTGTGACTCCAGCAATGAAGTTAATACTGAATGAAAATTATTTACGGAGTTGTAAAGATGGTTTAAAAGAATTATACGGTCAGTGCTATAAATTTCTTGAAGTAGATTTKAAACATTTACTTCAAGCTGCAGAAGAACAAAATAATGTGTATGCTTCATACTTAATATTATTATTCGTTTCAATAGTGATAAACAACATTAAAAATATATTATTTATTTATAGAAGTAACAAGTTTTGCAAGTTCAATTTTGTTTCAAAAAGCTTCTGGCCTGTATTCTTTGATCAAGTAAAAAATAATTTGCATTGTATCTATAACTTCAGAGAACCTGATGTTTTTATAAAAGTATGATTTTTTAAAATATATTTTAAGTGACAATTTATAAATAACTCATAACCTGAAGTATATCTACTATTTTAGAATTATAAAGTAACATTTAATGAATTTATGAAACATTTGTTTGAATTATCTGCTTCACAACATGAAAGTGAACCATTGAACAAAGTTCAAAGTTGGAATGATTTTAAAAAATGCTGGAATTTGCCAATTTATTATCAATATCGGTAAGCCCACATATATAATAAATTGAAATATATAACTACAAAAATGTACAAAGATTGATCCTTCTGGCTATCACAATTTCTCTCTGGTAGAGGGGAGGATAAATTAAATTTCTTAACCTATTTTTTATTATACAATTTTATAAATAAGATACATTTATATTTTTAGTTTGGTATCTTATTTTCACATATAACTATAAAATTACCCACAGTTAAATATATTTTGAATATAATTACAATGTGTAACATACATATAGTATGCTTAAAGCATTTATGTAATTGTTACTAAAACAAATATCAACAGTATACATTTTAGTATTATAGCTAACCATATAAGTGGGACAATAATGCTTCAATAACTCATCTTTAATAAATTATTTTCTTACTTAATTTTCATATTCCATTTTAAATTACCTCATTCAACCAAAAATTGTTCATGTCCAATTATATAATCTGTGATACTATCATCTGTTG